TGGGGGGGGGGGGGGGGGGGGGGGGGGGGGGGGGGGGGGGGGGGGGGGAGGGGGTGGCACGTCCCCCCCCCCCCAATGATCCGATCGAAATCCCTAATTTCGATCGGATCATTGTGGTTTATTAGTAATAAATCGGCATTTTTGTGACCTCCACCGCCACTGTGTAGCATATTATTACGTGCCAGGGACTCTACGAGATGATAGGACAATAGTCTGAGTCCATAAGTGGCAATAAGTAACGGCAAAGCGGTTCTAAGTGACTCACAGAATTGTGCGTAGTTGCGTGTACAGAGTCCACGACTTCCCTGAAGGCATCAACACCTTCAGCGAGCGCGGTGCCGATCACTAACAACGCGGTTCGAAATCGCACCTCGATCGATGGCTGTGCCATCGCCGCACACGCGTAGAATAAAAAGCAAGGGACAAGTCCTTACTTACTAACAACTCCTTACTTACTAACAACTCCTTACTTACTAACAAGTCCTCTATCATTTTTCATTGCTGGAGGGGTCGCCCCCCACCCTATCTGAAAATCCTGGCTCCGCCATTGACCCGGGCCAACATTTTTCATGAGAGTTTACATTTTTCGGTACATTTTAAGGGCTCAGGAGTGAAGACAAAAAAACAAATCCCATTTTTTTCCCCGTTCTTTATTCACGTACACGTATTGACACGGGCGGCGAAAGAGCGTCGTGTACAGCTAACGCACGGCAATCTTTTTTGAACAAAACACAACCACCGGAATATTAGAATCGCTTTTCACTTCACAGTTCACGACATTTTCATTGCACATTACAACACAACGAACTGCGGCTTATTTCATTTTAGCGTTCCATATATTGTCCGCGTACACGCTTTCGTCTTGTGCAACACTTTGAATAATTTGCAGCCCTTTACAAAAATCCACTGCTGGATTAAGGCCTCCCCACACTCTGTCGGTAACGGCGATCGTTCGACCATACTTCACCACCCTGGTCAGTGCGTGTGGGTGAATGGGACAGAGAGCCCAGGATCAGTTCAGATTGTCGCTCGCCACTGTACGTACGTACGTGTGTATGTATGCGATGTTGAACTTCTTTCACACCGTGCGTAGCCAACCGTGCTATTCGGAGGTGCGGGGGTAGGACAACAAAATATGGCTCTCTGTGTGAGTCTATGGATCTCTGTGTGAGTCTATGGGTCTCTGTGTGAGTCTATGGGTCTCTGTGTGAGTCTATGGGTCTCTGTGTGAGTCTATGGGTCTCTGTGTGAGTCTATGGGTCTCTGTGTGAGTCTAAGGGTCGCTGTATGAGTCTATGGGTCTCTGTGTGAGTCTATGGGTGTCTGTGTGAGTCTATGGGTCGCTGTGTGAGTTTATAGGTCGCTGTATGAGTCTATGGGTCGCTGTGTGAGTTTATGGGTCGCTGTATGAGTTTATGGGTCTCTGTGTGAGTCTATGGGTCTCTGTGTGAGTCTATGGGTCTCTGTGTGAGTTTATGGGTCTCTGTGTGAGTTTATGGGTCTCTGTGTAAGTTTATGGGTCGCTGTGTGAGTCTATGGGTCTCTGTGTGAGTTTATGGGTCTCTGTGTGAGTCTATGGGTCTCTGTGTGAGTCTATGGATCTCTGTGTGAGTTTATGGGTCTCTGTGTGAGTCTATGGGTCTCTGTGTGAGTATATGGGTCTCTATGTGAGTCTATGGGTATCTGTGTGAGTCTGTGGGCCTCTGTGTGAGTCTATGTATGTGTGTACATTGAACTTCGTTCACACCGTACATTAGCCAACCATGCTAATCGGAGGTGTGGGAAACTGACTTTAGCCATGGGTGGGAATCGAACTCGGATTAACTGGTGTTACCAGCACAAGTGTACTCAGTACACTAAGGCCACTGTCCCAGAGTATATATTGATGGCAAAACAGTCAATGGTGTTTGCCAATTGCAAACACTAGGTGTGCCCCACGAATGAAAGAGTTGGGGGGGGGGGGACTTCCTTTTCGAGTTCAACGTTTCAGAGGTCGGCTTATAAACATCGCCACTCGGGAGACAAAGGCGGCCGGGCGTGGTGCTGGCCACCCACCCCCTCGTGTGCCGTTCCAGCCTCCATTGGTGCTCGCTAACGGCAATTGCCCCAACAGTCTGTTAAGGCTACACGGGGGGATCTTTGTCTTTGTCTTTGGTGTGCCTCCCTGAGGTCGATTCAACCTTAAATAAGGTTCAGTCTATAAACATCGCCACTGGGGAGGCAACGGTGGCTTGGCGTGGTGCTGGCCACCAACAATTTCGTGCGCCGTACCCACCATCATTGGTGCTACTCGCGAACTGCACTTGCCCCCGACAGTCTGTTAAGGCTATACGAGGAGGGCCCTTTGCCTTTGCGTCTCACACACATGCGGAACATTCTTCAAAAGTCGCTGGGCTATCTGGTTTCCTTGCACATGGCAACCACTGAATATAAGAATTGACCAATGATCTCAATGCAGGATGCCTTCCTAAAAGGGCATTGTTAAATATGTATTTATATAAAACAGAAGAGTGGCCCAACCGTGTAAAATTCCAACGACGAGTTCTATAAATAAGTTTGCGCGTGACCTGTAACGTTGGCCGGTATGTTTACTGATGCGTTGGAATTACAAATAATAATAAACATATCTAGAGAAAATATATACATAACTGACCTTTATCGAACCACTGCTGGATAACGACCTTCGTATGCCCAGAATCGATCCATACACCGCTCGCCACTCACATTATGCGTGGCTCGGAATGAAACTCCAGATTCGTAGCGCAGGGCATAACACAGTGCCACCACCATTCCCCCTTCTAAGGTAAAAATACATTTGTAATGTATTATTACTGTACTATTATTACTAACATGTTTGATCAATAAATACATTATCGGATTATGAGTGAATGTATCAATGATCGAGGTTCGCTGGTTACGATCAGCACGGTTGGCTACGTACACATACAGTCCGTTCTCCTATAACGCCGCATTGAATGTATTAAGTAACACGTTTTTTTTTTTTAAACCGCGGATGCGAATTGGATACACCGCGATCAAGTGGACGGAACCACGTCGCGCGAGTAGGAACCAGAAGTCGCAACGGCTGCCTCGGCGTAGCATCAAGTCATTGGGATGCTGCTGGATGCTTCTAGACGCTACCCACGCGCCTCAGTGTTTGTTCAGCCTGCGTACGCACCTCACGCGTTATCGCGGACTCTGCTTTACCCCCGATATTATATGTTGTTAATTATAAGGCGATTTTTTTTCATAACGCGGTGTTTTTCAGGAACGCAACTACTACCGCGTTCTAGGAGAACAAACTGTGCACACGAGGCTATAGCAGTCACGATGGAGGAGCACGTGGCTTCCCAAAACACCCCCCCCCCAAAGCTTTACAGCATCGTCCACATTTTCGCAAATTGCCGGCGTCTTTTGCTCAAACGACAGCTTTTGTTTTCGAGCCAGGTGAGGGAGAGGCCCATTGCGACAAAAACACGTGGTGCCAGGGGGATTTCAGGAGGGTCAATAAATGTCAACGTAGCAAAGGCAGAGGCGTCACCTAGGCCACTGCGCGCTCACCACCGCTGCCGACCCAGACGCTTTGCCTAAGGTGAAAACGCCGTGGGGGTCGTTGACCATTGTGAAATTGTCAGATAAAAAAAAACGAGGTCAGTACATTTTGGATGTTGCACCGTTCTTATCGCACAAGGAGATCACAGAGCTCCTGTGGCGACAGCCTTATAATGGTAATAAAATCAACAAGGACGTAGGCTTTCAGTCTGAATCGCACAACGTTGTTGGTGCTTCCAGCTGTTATACCAAGACGTCTGTCTGGCCGGTGTGTGGAATAGGGATGCCAAAGACCCTCTAGAGTAGTGGTTATGAACACAAATTAAGCATGGGCACATAAGTTACGACTTACTTCGTTTCATTAAACCCTATGTATTTATTAACATTACATATATATAAAAAATACTATTGAGAAGCAAAGGGCTGCAAGTGAATGTCAAGAACCACTGCACTAGACGGGCCCTCTCTCCCTCTCAAGGAGGTCCTCCTGATAGTAAGTGGCATTAGTAAGCAAAGAAACTGCCATTCTGCACCTTCACACAATGTAACATGGAACATAAAAAAAAAACATAAAAAGAAACATTAAACAAACATTAAAAAACATAAAACACACAAAAACATACAAATAAAGTAAAAACCATCAAAACATTAAAAAAAACATTCATTTTTTTTACAAAAAAACATTAAAAAACACGCACAATTCTTACGAATGCCAAGGTAGGAGAACACGAGAAGCATCGTACGTTCCACAAAGGAATGTTTTGAGTGAGCTTTGTGCTAAACAAATTAACGGACAAATTATATTTACCCAAGTAAAAATGTACATACATGTAACAGTATATTGTTTGGCCGTCTCTTGTGGAAGCGGACAAACTCTGACTTCCAGAGTCTAACCATCACAGTCTGAAACGTTAAACAATTTGGCCGAGTGGCCAAGTTCTTATTGTAAAACCACCCCACTTATGCTGCGTGTGCGTGTTGCAGAGTCTGTATCTTGGCTGGGTCATGTAGCCTGCATGCCCAGCCACCGCATGCCTAAACAGCTTTTGTTCGGCCGGATCGAGGGGGCTAAACGGGCGCGGCACGGGCTAGAAAAGAGATGGAGTGATGTGGTACAGGAGGACGTGGAGCTGAGTGGACTTGTCGATGACTGGTACCAGTGGTGTCAAGATCTTCCTCTGTGGAGGAGGATCGTGAAGGCCGCTACTGGGCAGTTGGAGGCAGTCGCCCTCCAACAACAACGGAGGGCGGAGGAGCGACGCTCACAACAACGAGTGGAGCGCCAGGTGGCTAAAGCACAGCAAGTTGGCACAGTAGGGGGCACAGGTGGTGCATCAGCCAGTCGTCTCAGTCAGTCGACCTGTGGCATCTGGGTCTGCCCCGTGACCTCCTGCCAGCGGGCGTTCAACACTTCACGTGGCCTCAACGTGCACTTAGCCTGGCACAAGCGTCGTGGTGACGTCACCGCCACTTAGTGGCGAATGGCGATTGTTGTTGTTCTTGTATCTTGACCGGGAATACAACTCGTAATGTCACTGTACCGTGGAAGTTAATTTCCATACGCCGCGACGTTAAATCAGTTGTTGCTGGACCTTTACCGGTCCACATGGTGTCAGTTGGTTTCGTTTGGATTTCGTTCGTCCTGCCAAAGGGAGGGAAATATATTTTTGGCGTTGCTCGAGATGGTCGCGAAAACTGTCCGGGTTTTCACGTGACTGTCCCTGCACGACTTTCTCTGTTTCACAAAGTACACAATGGGGTTGAGGGCGCAGTTGAGGCTGACAAGGCCTCGCATCGATTTGTACGTTTTCACCAGTGCGTCGGCCTCGCACGTCAAGCTGTTCCCGCCGGAGAAGAAGAAGACCAGCTTGCTGATGTTGTACGGCAGGTGACAGATGATGAAAATAACGAGGACGACGATGATAGTGCGGATGGCGTTCACACGCTTGACGTCCTGCCGGACGCTGCCCAGCGATAAGGAGTTTTTCAAGGTGTGGATGATGCAGGAGTAGAAGACCAAGGTGACAATAAATGGAAACACGAAGCCCGTGAAGATGACCGTGACGCTGTAGGGCTTGTCCTGCAACGAACTGTTCGGTTTGAAGTCCCAGCATTCCTCTTGGCGTGAGGTCAGCGTAACGCCGCTGAAATATAGCGTCGGCACCGACTCTGCGATCGTGACCACCCACACGAACGCGCATATGCCGATGGCGACCTTTCTCCTCTGCCACCGCAAGGTGGACATCGGGTGGCAGATGCCCAGGTATCGGTACAGGCTTATGGCCGTGAGGAAGAGGACGCTGACGTTCAGGTTGAAGTAGAACATGAAGCGCACTAGGCGGCACATAAAGTCCTTGAATACCCAATTGTCGTGAACGACGTAGCTGTGGATGAGGAAGACGAGCGACATAGCGTACAGGAAGTCCGTTGCCGCCAGGTTCACCGTGAACAGCGAGCTCGAGTTCAGCTTTTTCTTCTTCTTGCAAACGAGGCGGCAGAAGATGAAGCCGTTGAAGATGATGCCGAAGAAGGCGCTGACGGAGTAGGCGACCGGCAGGTAGATGAATTTGTAGCTCTCGTTCAGCGTGCAGTTGGAACCGTTCGTCATGCTTGCCGCGTGCCCCCACCAACATGCAGGTGCGCGACTTCTGGGGGCTCTGCGAAATAAAGAATAGAAAAAAAAAGATTGTGAGCACAAAAAACAGAATCGGAATATTTGTTTAGGCTGGGGGAAATCCGATGAGCTATGAACGTTACAAGAACAAACAACACAAAGAAAACCACGACCGGAGTGTAGAGTCTAGGAAAGGCAAAACAGGGGAGTGCATGAATGCGGAAGTGACACGAGAGATATTGCGTGGCTGGATTAATGCAGGGGCTTAACGGGCTGCATCCCAGGGTCTCAGATTTGCAGGACATCCCGCACCAACCCCCACAAAATATATAAATATATATTCAGCTCTATAATGGTTGAAACACAATACTGGACAGCAGAATGATGAATCCTTCAGCGCAATTTGGTGCTTAAGGCTATCGAATCGCCATGCGTTACAAAACTGCGGACCAACCTGCGAAAAACCGAAATAGCCTTTGCCCAATTTAAACTTTTACTCGCGTTCTCGCACTTAAAACACGACGTGAACTGACCCAAGGTGCATAACAACGGAGCGTTCAGCTTCGCCACGCATTCGATGTGGATCTTGACACGGAACTGAAAGAACTAATATTTAAAGCCCCCCCCCCCCCACTAAAAAAATAACAACCCTAGAGTGACACCCCCCTCCATCAAATCTATACCAGAGCAGGGCATATGTAACATGATCGATATCAAACTGTTCAGATTGATAATATTTTTATAGTTATTATCCTCGCAATAAAAACATTTGACTCAACGCCGCATTTGTTTTGTGCATGCCAATGGAGAGAGAGAGAGAGAGAAAAAACCCCATCGTAAGGAAATCCCCGGAGCTTCTAAAAGTTGCGACGTAAAAAAACGAACTCAGTTGGCGTCACAAATCGCATCCATATAAGTAGCATAGCGGGCAGAATTTCATTTCCGAGATGTGCGTATTAAATGGTTCTCCTTTTGCAGTGTGTCGAGTCCGAGAAGGTCACGTACGGGCAAAATTAATTCAAGTAAATGTTTTGCTCAAATGAGATTTTGCGGCGGTTGACAGCCTTCAACCGGTGGAAGAAATTCCACTGTCCTATGGCAGGCGCAAGTTCATCCACGGGACAACCACTTTTGGCTTTCTCACACGGTGTTACTTATTGTATCGACACAGGAGGAACGATGGGCTGAGTCAACTCCACAGCCAGCATTCGAACTCGCAACGTACTGATTGCCAGCCACTTGCCCTACCACCGAGACGCCTGTCCAGCAGGATACATGTGTAATAAAGTTTAACAACAACAACAAGACAGGTAAGTCATGAACAGCCTTTTTGTCAATTAACTGCTGGATGAAGTCCGCACCATGCCGTGTCCGGTCATGGGGTGTTTTGACCATACTTCACCGGTCCATGAGGAGTGATAATCACTTGGCAATGGTGCGAGCCGTGGTCGGGAATTAAAAGTTAGTTCGCCGGGTTCAAAGCGTAGTGTGCTTATCCATAATAAATGGTTATTTTTGGCTTAGATCGTGTAAATATAAATGTCGCGAAAACCCGCAATCACCCGACACAGCCAATTAGTAAGGGTTGTCACGTAAACATTTCGAGTATGATGTTTCGCTGGTGATTACAATCAGCTTCACAGTGTCCTATAACCTCTGTGCCAACTGTTTCACCCCATACTTGTGGTGGACCACGGTGGTTAGCGCACTGCACTACGAACCCAGTGAATCGAGTTTGAGTCTCTCACACACACACACGGCTAACGTCAGTGGCGAGCGATATCTGAACCCGCTCGTTGCCAACTCGCACTGACCGCTTTGGTGAAGTATGGTCAGACAATCTCCACATGACTGCAGGCACCGCTTGGCGAAGCCTTTGTCCGTCCAGAAGTAAATTGACAGAGGGCGGCAGTCGAACGACAATAACATTTACATTTCCAAAGTTACTTTTGCTCAGGGCTATGATCGTACATTCAGCTCGGTGGGAATTGATGCAGTCAAATTCAAGCCGTTGACCCAATTCAGTGCCTTAAAGAATCAAAGTAAAAATACACATTTAGAAAATAATACATTCTATATATATTTTTACGAATCACGGAACGGCCACATTTCGTTAAGATAACACGAAGAAAGGTCAAGTGACGTTGACTTACTGGCTCTTTGCTGCAGTGGGCCTTGTGGTCTTGTGTCCCTCTCACGCTCGCTCGCCGGCGGTGGACCAAGGGGGTGAGAGGAGCTGCACACGGATAGACTTCGAATATTTTTGTCACTCCGCAAGTGATGCTGATGGTGTATCAACAACAGCGTACGCGTCGTTCCGACAGGAGGCAAGGGTGGTGGGGGGGGAGATGACCGCTGACGCGTCACCAAAGTTCCTCGTCGTCGTCGGCGACGACCGTGTTTCGCAATGCTTCGTGAGCACATTCCGATCGCAATTAAAAAATCTTGCGCCGCGGCCAGCGGCGGCTGAGACAATCTACGTGCGATCGCCGGGCCGCGAACACGAGGTCCCAAAATCAATGTTGAAGTTCTCGAATTTCGGCAGCGGAGTGCGAATTAGTTCGAGCGAATAGATCGGTACCGTGGCTGGGAGAATTCTCACATCCTCTTTAAAGCCTCCGCTGCGCGAGCATCAGAGGACGGTGTTTCTGCGGGAAGGGTTTGTTGCCGCGGTGTGATGGGTGAGTTTTTTGCTGCAGCGGACTTAAGGGGCCCGTCCATAAATGACGTCACGCGATTTTGGACGATTTGTGACACCCCCCCCCCACCTCGTTACACGGCGTCACAAAAAGTCAGACCCCCCCCTAAAATATGACGTCACATAGCTCTGCCCCCCCCCCCAAAAAAACATGCTTCAAATCGCTTTAAACTATTGTCATTGTAGCGCGTATTTAATTGGCGCTGCACTCTGATGTTGTAGGAGAAAACATTTCTTAAAAAGTCTATTTAATTAAGTAGAACGTGTTGTCTATATTTAAAGTTGCGCTTTTTGATGTGACGTCACATTTCTCAAACACCCCCCCTCTCGTCACACATCGTCACAAATGTCTGACCCCGCCCCCCGCCCCCCTACGTGCGTGACGTCATTTTTGGACGGCCCCTTACATACAACACTGAAGTCGTCTCTGCTCGATCGGTTTGAAACGACGGGGTTTTCCACCCAGCGAAGTCGACCGGCAGCTCGCGTGTTTGGTGGGGGTGACGTGTGGGTACCCTCACCTCGTTTGTTTGTTTGTTGCCAAGAACATCTCTGCCAGCATGGAAGAAGTTGGTCCGTATCCCTTCGAATATGAGGCCCTCTTGAGCTTCCTTTCGTGGAGGACCTTCTGCCAGCAAGTGGCATGAGGAGTTTCAGGGGTGCGCCTGGTATACGGGAGGTCGTGGGTTCGATCCCGACCCTGACACCTGCTGCTGTATATTTGGAGTTTGCGTGTCTCTCTCTCTCTCTTATCATCGTTACGGTGGTTAAGAGATGTTAACTACCTCGCCTGGTATGCAGGAGGTCGTGGGTTCGAGCCCGACCCTGACGCCTGCTGCTGCTGCTGTATATTTGTAGTTTGCGCGCCTCTCTCTCTCCACCGTGGTCGCGTGGATTTTTCTCCGGGTCCTCCGGTTTTCCCCTCCACATTTAGAATCAACGTGTACTTCGGAGTGTTTGACTGCTACAAATGTCCAAATGATAAGCCACTTATTTGGGCTCTCATTCGTGGCCAGGTCGTTTGTGATAAAAAAGACCTACACAGCTAAGGTTAGGCCCTTGTTTAAAAAAATAAAACTGTAAAAAATTGATAGTTTACAAATCTTTTTTTTTTCCATTAACATGACGTGTTTTACACTTTTACACACCATTTGCGAGTTATTGTTAGGTGCTGTAGAAAGTGGATCAGCAAACGCAAGACCCTTTTAATGCGAATGGGGACATTTTTTTTTTGCCAGTGGGAATCCTTTATTTCAAACCAGGTGCAAGCCGGTAACAAACAAACAAAAATGTTGAAGATAACATTTCCAAAAAAGAACGTTGGCTTTCAGATTGCCAGAGCCTCTACGATTGCTTACAGAGACACGTGCCGGGAACGCCTTCGTAAGATAAGCAATGTTCACGTTTAAAATAAATAGTTGCAGAGTCGTACCGCGAGCTTATCGCGATGTAAACGGCGTTTTTTTTTAAATTATCGTATAGCATGTAACGTAGCATCGTATAGCGAGTACTTTAAGATACACACACTAAAATTCAGATAAACATAACTGACGATTGTCAGTGCAGCATACAGTCGAATGTTAATAACAGCACCTTGCGTAACTGACCGTCACATGTCCGCCCTGACCTATTTACCACCAACACCTACCCAGTGTCCTGTTTGTGTAAGGTGTGACCGTCGTTTTTGTATACATTCTTTAACAAAAACACTCCACCACCACTACCACCCCATCGCATACTCTTTGGCTGAATTCAATAGGCCGAATCCATTCCTAAACCATAGACCAGCCTTAAACACCTGAACCTTAGACCAACCTTATATATCTGGACCTTAGACCAGTTTTAAATACCCGACTTTAGACCAGCCTTAAATAGCAGAACCTTAGACCAGCCTTAAATATCAGAACCTTAGACCAGCCCTAAACACCTGAACCTTAGACCAGTCTTAAACACCTGAACCTTAGACCAACCTTATATATCTGAACCTTAAACCAGTCTTAAACACCTACACCTTAGACCAACCTTAAATATCTGAACCTTAGACCAGTTTTAAATACCTGACCTTAGACAAGCCTTAAATACCTGACCTTAGACCAGTCTTAAATATCTGAACTTCAGACCAGCCTTAAACACCTGAACCTTAGACCAGCCTTAAACACCTGAACCTTAGACCAACCTTAAATATCAGAACCTTAGACCAGTCTTAAATATCAGAACCTTAGACCAGCCTTAAACACCTGAACCTTAGACCAGTCTTAAACACCTGAACCTTAGACCAACCTTAAATATCAGAACCTTAGACCGGTCTTAAATATCTGAACTTTAGATCAGTCTTAAATTCATGAACCTTAAACCAGTCTTGAATATCTGAACCCAGAACGGCGATGACCGGCCAACCCCCCAAAGAAAATCCCTTCCTTGCCTCCTCCCGCGGGCCTGCTCTGATGAGTCCGTTGTGCCTGCCGATACCGTCGATGCCTCCTGGTGCTGCTGGCACGGAACTTTAGAATGTTGCAATGTATGATGTGGTGAGGGAGGATGCAGAATTGAGAAAAAAAAATGTTTTACTTATAAATGAAGAAAACAAACAAAAAAACCTCCACCACACATTAACATTGTGGTGTGACTTAAAATGAACACATATATAAAGATATAGAAAAAGGCGACGTTTTGGGCAATGGCCCTTCAACACAGCACAAAAATCAGGGCCATTGAAGAATTTCCATTGGCACCAAAGTCGCCCATTTTATACTTATATGTTTCCCCTTATGTACCGATTATCTATTCCGCCAAAGTGTTTTTAAGAGACGTGTTGAGCTTTTGTGTCTATGTTGTGATT